ACGAAATGATTTATGTACGGATGAGGAACGAAGGAGAACATAAATGAATTTCGTTTCATTTGTAGTGTAGTTCTTAAATTCGTGCTACAGGTGTAGTGTAGCACTTAGCACGTGCATTTAGTGTGTATTAGCATTCGACGAGATCGTTCACAGCAGTACGGACGTGTATTTTTTTTTTTATATATAACAATATATATATGTATGTATATATACATATATATATTATAAGGTAATAATTCATTGAGCTTTAATAGATAATGTAGAGTGGGTTGAAGGGAGTAATTTCATTTGGTATGTACTTTGCTAATTGTAACTTTTGTATTTGTAGAAGTCACGGTTGGTTGAGATATATTCATATTTCAGTGACAGTGTTTTAAGTGTGGCGTTCGGGAATGTGTATTGGACTGATTGAGTGGACTCTGAAGTACATTCCTGAATTTCGTCAAGTGTGCGAATCTTGTGAAACTCGAAATATTGCTGTACACGAATCTCGCAGGCTATTAAATTGTAAAAACAATTGTTTGGTTTATGTTATTATGGCTAAATAGATACGAAATGATTTATGTACGGATGAGGAACGAAGGAGAACATAAGTACAAATATATGTGAGGGAACCTATTTCCCAGCTTTATATGATTACGATAAGAAGATTTAATTATATGCAGATAATAGGAGAAGGTTGTATAGTTTACAACTAGTGTATACAGGGATGGAAATGAATATGAAGATGGAGGTGAATATGATGAATTAGAATTGGAGTTTACCAGTAAAAAAATTAATAAAAAAATAATAATTGACCAGATATGTAGAAAGTGCAGCCAAAGAAAGTTATGATCTAATAGAGATTCTTAGATGTATAGTTTAGTTAACTATATCTTCTGCCACGAGATAAGTTTTCTAAATGAAGAAACATTATTAACTAGTATCTTTTATTTGCTTCGTACTAAGAGATGTACGAAGATTAGGTTATCAGGCGGGTCAAGCCCTATAGTGTCCTGGCCGGTTTAGGGGGTAACTCCCTTTGTCCACTACAGAGTTAGTGGGGGAGTTACAGTAATTGGTATAAACCTCTTACTGTTAGACCAAATATGAAAAAGTTATATTTGGTCAGTGTAAATACAAACTGATTCAAGGAGTGTTAGTGGTTATATCTTGGAAAAATATCCTTGAACGTATTATAATCGACTCCTTTCTTGGGGAACGGAGTCGATGTACATATAAAGTTTTAGTAGACTAATCCTCGAAAAAAAAGAGTAAATTCTTTAATACTAAAGTACCACGTACTTCTCCTGTTATAAGTGCAATGATAGTAATACACATCAAATGAGAGAGAAAGCTGCTTTTGCCAATATGTGCCATATTTAAGGGATATGTTATTCCTTTATATGTATTACTAAAAGATTTAATACACGGAGGTCAGGATCACCCTCCAGACCTCCGCACGAGATGTGACGTAGCAGTCTAGACCTCACACGCAGTTGAGGAATCCCGTGACTTCTCCCCCACTATTTGGAGTTGATAGTTATACAATATACACGGGTATCATAAAAAGTAAAGAGGTTAAATACTCTCAAACAAGTGATAATTAGTTATATTTATTTTACTTGAGTCAGACACTTTTCAAGTAGTATATAAAGACGCCAGGTTAACCAAGTGTCTTGACAAGATCCTAACAGGCCTATAGGTTTATCCGGCAAGTTCCAACTGAGGAAACCTTAAATGTCTCAAAAAGTCAAAAGTGACAGTGGGTCACAGGTTTCCTCAATAGCAGTGTCTTTCTATAATAACAAGCTAGAAAATAAACCAGAGATAAATTACCTGAGTTCATTAGGTCTTGATACTACAGTGGCTAACAGCAGTGAGGTACATGTAGAATATGTAGGATGTATACGTGGCAGGTTTTAACTGTACATAGGATTAGGTGGCTTTCTAGCTTTGTGATATGGAAAAAGACATGTTTTATTCTATTTATTACATACTTACTGATAAAAGCTACTATCTTATGATCTACTTTTCTTTTGAAATATTGAAAAACGAAACATTTTTAAAAGGGGTGTGATACAGGTTTTGCCGGCTGATACAGGTTTTGGGGTGTGATACGGCGGGGGCTGATACAGCTTTTTGGGTGTGATACGGCGAAGGCTGATATGGGTAAGAGCAATTGTGTCGTATTGCATATACAAAAAAAACGTATCTGTTAGTAAGTATGTAATAAATATTGTTACATATCCTTTGCCATTATAGCGTGATATATTTCTTTGTTAATCTACTCATAGTTGGTACATTCCATATCTGTAAGTTTGATCTCTGTATAATGGAACCTTGTGCATGAAAAGAAAACAGGTTTTATAACAGTTAATATGTGTTATTGTTACTATACACATATTGTTACTACTATAAGCTTTCATTTTATCGATAACCTGTGTGTAATAGATGTTAAGTGATTTTAAGTAGCATGAGGAGGCTAGTTTCATCAGACGGGTGGGGTGTACATGCATGTGTAATCCATATAACTCTGTACGCCATGCATGTGGACTGGATTCATTACACTAAAGCCTCATATCACATGATGCCAAATATTGTCGATACATATAAATGTGGCATATATGATTGGTCGAATGATTGCACATGCCAAACTAACTTCCAGTCACATCATCAACCAATTCTCCCTTCTCATTCCTCTTCTAGGCTCGAATACAGAGGAGTCACCATTGATCTCCACCTGGTCCATAACCTATCGCATCCAAACAGCCCTCAAGGTAAGTCATCCTGTAAGCTTTGATGTTCACAGTTGTCCATTCGTGTGTCTGTGTATTCCATTTATATATTGTTCGGGTCATCTTCCTGTCATGTATTCATTGTGATTCTTTGTGTACATTACAGGTTTTTTACTCTGGAATAAATGGAATCATAATAACAGACTTGTCTCGTTATAATTTTGCTCGTTGTCTATAAATGATGGTAGTGCCTTTGATTTTAGTGTAACTGCTTTGTGTTCTTTGAAAGACAAATATCAGCCTAATTGACTAGTCAGTTTTTCAAATCAATCAAACAACTGATTGAACCTTTGATTTTGTCAATTTATTTAGTTACCATGGGTGCAGAGAAGATGTATATATCCAAAGTAAAATAAATATTTATCCATAATATAATACAATCTGTTAATTTAATAGTTCTAAAATCTGGTATATTTTTATTTTCCTTTTTAAGGTGCAAATATCTATTATTAAATATTGACCTTTTTATAATAATCTTTGAAGAAAACTGGGACATTTAGAGGAAAAAACCCTAGTTAAACATTGGCAGGTAAACTTTGATACCTTCATTTGATCAAGTTTTTTCGAAGTAGTTATAAAATGTTGAGCTATGAAATGTTTATAAAATTAACCATTTTGCAACTAAATATCACAAAGATTAATAGAATCTTCTGGGGATCCTTGAGGGTGTCACAGAGAAATCTCCAACCTGAGGGGTGACATTCTTGATTGTCTTGCCAGAGGCTTAATTAGCTGAGGGTAAGACATTCGAGAATATCATCCCGAGGGTTGGAGATTTCTCTTATCACACCCTCAAGGTAGGGGATGATTGTTTTTTTCTCCAATCCTGTTCCACTTACAAATCCACTGGTAAGTGGTGATAATTGCATGAAATTTATAGGCAGTGATTGCTTGAAATATAAGTGTTGATTGCATGTGTTTTCCAGCAAATCTAGAGTTGTCTTCCGTAGTCTGCTACGTGATGTCATACTATTGTTATAACTTAAAATGGGCCAATCTGCGCGAGGCTATAGCTGTCTCCCTCCTTGGTGGTGACAAGCTGATCTGATCTTGCTTAAAAGGGGGACACACCTATGATGGGTGGTAGAATGTTTTTATATATGCTTGCATGCATACATACTTTTTGGCTAAGAGAATCCTAATAACAAAATGACAATTGACAATATTTTTTTCTGAAATATTACCAGATATTGCTGATAAACTATTTAGATATACAGTACTGGGTGCCGATATCAACAGTATTTTATGTAGAATAAGTGTTATTATTAAAACTTGAGGTGTCTGTTGATTGTGTCATAAATATCCAGTCAACATTATTCACTTAGAGAGTCAATATCAACAGATGACCGAGATAATTATCTATATAATTTCTGTTTTTTCCCCTTTGATCTGGATTCCTACACAATCTTATTCCTTCTAATAAAACTTTCCATTTAAAATAAATAAATCAAGGTATCAACATGAAGATGTATAAATGTATACTGTGCACGTGTAACAACAGCATATATATATTACATATGGATTGAACAGCATTTAAAAAAAAATGTTTATGCCTGTAAATGCAAATCGATTACATCCATGTTAAACGTGTTTATTATGGATGTAATCAATTTGCGTTCATACCGACATGAAAATTAAAAAAACGCCCTTCAATCCATATATTTACATTTTTACTATAGAACAATTATTTAATTAGGCCCCGTATCGGAGATACGGGTGCCCTATAGTAATCACTCTGTCTGTCTGTCTGTCCGCCCACAAATTTTGTTCCTGGCTGATAACTTTGGTATTTATTGACCGATGAACATGAAACTTAATCGAGATGTTCAGTTTACAAAAATACACATTAAGGTAAAAAGTCAAGGTCAAAGGTCAATGTCATTAGGGTCAAAGGTCAAGGTCAAATTTTGCATCTTTTCACTGATGAACATTTTCATATGACATGATGAAGCAAAGTTGATCAGAATTAAACAAGGAGTCAACCTGACCAAATATCAAGGTCATTGGGTCAAAGGCCAAGGTTAAATTTTGTATCTTTTCATCGGTGAACATTTTGGTATGACATTTGAAGCAATGTTGCTCAGAATTAAACAAGGAGTCAATTGACCAAAGGTCAAGGTCACTGGGTCAAAGGTGAAGGTTACATTTTGTATCTTTTCCCTGATGACATTTTGTTATGACATTATACAGCAATGTTGGTCAGAATTAAACAAGGAGTCAATTGACCAAAGGTCTGGGTCAAAGGTCATGGTCAAATTTTGTATCTTTTCCCTGATGAACATTTTGTTATAACTTTATGAAGCAAAGTTGGTCGGAAATTAACAAAGAGTCAACTGACTTAAGGTCAAGGTCACTTGGTCAAAGGTCAAGGTAAAATTTAGAATTTTTTGGCTGGTGAACATTTCATTATGACACTTTGAAGGAATGTTTGTGGGAATTAAACAAGGAGTCATTTGACCAAAGGGAAATCTTTTTACTGATGAACTTTTTTGTATGTTATTATGTAGCAAACTTGTTCAGAACTTAACACAGAGTCAACTGACCTTAGGTCCAGGTTACAGGGTCCAAAGGGTCAAGGTCAAGTTTTGTATTTTTTCAGTGATGAACATTTTGTTATGATATTATGAAGCAAAGTTGATCGGAATTAAAAGAATAAGTCAACTGATCAAAGAACAGGGTCACTGGGTTAATGGTCAAGGTCATTTGGGTCCAAAGGTCAAAGACAAAGTGGATCTCTGACTTTGACCCTGGCTCTTGATGGAGGAGGTATATAAGGTGAAATAAAACAAATCAAAGCTAACAAATGAGTATTGCACCGGTATTTACATTTCTGTTAATATTTCTGAAAATATGGAGGTGGAAGGAAACAATACTCACATCATAGTACATGTAAAATGTAAATTTTGCTTCCTTGCGATTCTTTTTGAAGTCCAAATGTCAAACGCCAAGCTCAGCTATATGGGCAGATTGCTTCTTGATGATTATGGGGGATATATTGCCACAAGACGGGCCCTTACTGACCTGTCAGTGTTCTAGTTTTATTTATTTGTTCTTGAATAATTTATTTATTTACTGCGTTTATGCGTCGTCCTTTAAACGACATTAGCGGAACAGCCCTATTTAAACATAACAAATACAGCTCTGAAGTAGAACTCTGCTTTATGATTATTACTTTTACTGTGATACTTTGTAGTAAACAAATATTTGAATTTAGAGGGTTATTTTTCTGTTGATAACATACAATGGCTCTATAAAGATTAAGCATCCAGTCTATGCAGAGTGTTTTTTTTTGCAGACTGTATATGTTAACAGTTTGCATAGAGCCTAGTGAAGTTGTGGTTAGAGTGATCAACTTGCTTCAAAACAGAAAGAATAAATAAGTCTATGTGAATAAGCAGCAGAACAAAAAATAGATGCCTGTCCAACCACGGACTTAGATAATCTAATTCCATGGTCCAACTGTTCTTATTTTACTTCACATACACACATATAATGCTATATTTTATATTGTTATCTTCACCAAGGTCTTCTCTAAAAATAATAATATCTTGTATACATTTATTTTAAAACCCTGTTTGAGGTCTGACAATAAGTCACCCTGAACACCAGGATTGGAACTTCCCTTAGCCTGGGAAATGAGATGTGATAATTCTATTCAAAACAAAGTTAAATCACAGGTTCAATTGAAATACCTGTAATTTAGCAGTTGATTGTTTATCACTCACCATCCCATTTCTGCAAGCTAGTTAATTCACTTACAGTTAAACCACAGTTTTCTTATAATTGCTATTTTAATTACCATGGGCCCATTGGTACCAGTGGAATTCCAGTTTTTCAAATGATTAAAATCGTGTTACAATCCAGTACCTTAGTTTGCATATTTTTTTTTCAGAAACAGTTTTCTGAAATAATTTACTGTTCGTGCTATCCTACTTTGAAAAAGGAACACAATGGGATATAATATTGCTTCTCCTAAACTCCACTTTGCAGAGAGCACTAACATACTCTTAACAAAAAGTCGGTTTGAATTATTAAGTTTTGTATGGTATAAATACACCACAGTGTTTGAATTATTAAGTTTTGTATGGTATAAATACACCACAGTGATTGAATTATTAAGTTTTGTATGGTATAAATACACCACAGTGATGCATGCACCTACTGGCAACTCAGCTTAATGATAAACTTGTGAGGGTAAGTGCATCACTGATTTACTGTTCATTTGTCTAATGAAGGTGATCGAATACACATCCTACAAGTCATGGACAAGTAATTCATAAACCTGACAGTTATTCTAATATAATAAACCTGTACAACTGAACCTAACAGCTACAGTAACATTTGACTCTGTATACGGACACGTTCGAATTGTTAAGCCTACACTCTGAGCACGTGTTTCCTGTAAATACATTCTAAAAACAGTTTGGTCACGTTGCATTGACAATAGGGAATTTCCTGGAGTAAAACCTCACGTTGCTGAACATGTGATTGTCAATCTTGACATATTGATTGTGTCTAGTGACGTAGCTAATTACTACATTACCATATTGTGTTGCATTTTTGTGTGTGTGGTTGATGATAGAGGCCAACAATAATGCTAGCTTAAGCTAAGTAATAAGACAACTTCTGGGATGTATTTCATACATTAGTAATTCTACACATTTTTAGGTCACCTGAGACAATTAAAGTCTCAAGTGACCTATTGCGATCGCCTTTTGTCCGGCGTCGTGCAGCGTGCATCCATCAACAAGTTACATTTTAGACTTCTTCTCATAAACTATTGAACCGATTGTAATGAAATTTTGCAGGAACCTTCCATGGCAAAAGGTGAACCAAAACTGTGAATCATATGGTCCCCACTCCCCAGGGGCCTGAGGGGTGGGGCCAAAAAGGGTCAAATTGACTCAAATTTCAAAAATCTTCCCAGATATGGTAGCATCAAATACTCTTCATGGATGGAATAGTCTTAAGGTACTAAACCA